CTTTTTTTTTTTTTTTGGAGAGGTTTTTGCTACAGGGCATGTGCACTCACCAGAGAGACAGAGACAGAAAGCGAGAAATCACCCCCCGAGGGGGAATGGCCATGCCACAATCCCTTCTCTACCTTTCTCCTCTAGGGATCTTGGGCACACACACATACGCACCTGGTGTGAGTATAAGCCAGCGGTTCCGGGACTTGAACTGCAGTTAACTACATGGGAGTTCAGTGACATAGCCATTACGCCAACTGCTGGTCCTGTGATACCTTCTTTTTAAATCTTGATTTTCTTAAGTTAGGCATTTTTTTTCTTATCAGTCTAGTGAAAGTTGTTTCAGTTTTGTTGGTTCTTTCAAAGGACCAGTTTTGGTGATGGTTTTTAAAAACATTTTATTGTTTTGGTATTCTCTGTTCATTAGTTTCTACTATAGTCTTTATTCTTTTCTTCTTTATGCTTGATTTGGATTTATTTTGCTCTTCTTTTTCTCATTTCTTAAGATGTAGAGGTTGGATATTGAATTAAGATTTTTCTTCTTGGCCTAGCTCCATTGCTTAGTGGTTAGGGTGTCAGATCCCACAAGGCCAACCGCAGTTCAAATTCTGGCCCTTGTGGGTTGAAAAACATGTTGGGCATGAATGCGTACACCCCCAAAATTCTGAAATGAAGAGAAGAGATTGCAGCATGACTGTGCTCTACGAGGGTGTCCTTTGTTACTCTCTCTCGCTCTCTGTTTCTCTCATGAGCACATGTGCCCTTTGGCAGTGTAAAACAAAAACAATTTTTGTTCTCTTTTTAAAAATTTTTATTTATTTAATATTATTTGTTATTATCATTTATCTTTTTAAAATTAGACGAGAGAGAGACGAGAGAGAGAGAGAGAGAGAGAGAGAGAGAGAGAGAAAGTAAACTATCAGGTTCAATATTTGAATCACAGTCAGCCAGGTAGGAGTCCAGTACCCCAGCCACCACATCACCTGTCAGCCCCAATTTTTCTTCTCTTTTAATGCATCTACAGATATTCTTAGCAATGATTTGGCTACATTCCAGAAGTTTTGTTATACTGTGCTTTGTTTTCCTTTATTTCAATTTTCCTTGTGATTTCTTCTTGGTTGACTCATCGGTTGTCTGAGAGTGTATTGTTTAACACATATTAGTAAATTTCCAGTGTTCCTTCTGTTACTGATTTATAGTTTCATTTCTATTATAAACAGGAAAGTTACTATGTGTTATTTTAATCTTTTTAATTATAAATAATAATAACAAGTCATTTTACTTCCTTTTAAAAGTTTCAATCTTTTTAAATTTTTCAAAACTTGCTTGGTGGCTTAGTATACGATCGCTCCTAGGGACTGTTCCATGCGCTCTTGAGGAGAAAGTGCATTGTGCTATTGTTAGGTGAATTGTTCTGTCTGTCTGTTAGGTCTGATTAGATTACTGTTATTCAAGCTCTTTGTTTCCTTGTTGATCTTTTTTTTTTTTTTAAGGAATTATCTAATTTACTTTTATTTTTTATTTTTGTTTTTTAATTTGACCAGAGAGACAGAGAGAAGGAAAGTGAGAATACAAGCTGCCAGCTCCAGGATTCAAACAGTGGTCGGCCATGTGGGAGTCCAGTGTCTTGACCACCACACCACCTACTGGCCTCTTTTATTGATCTTTTGTCCAGTTAATTAGTCACTTTGCTTTTGTTACTCTTCAAGATTCTCTCTTTGTCCTTTCATAGCTTCGCTAAGATGTGTTTAGGCGCGGACCTTTGATTTTATCCTATTTGAAATTTGTTGAGCTTCTTGAAATATAGGCTAATATTTGGCAAATTTGAGACATTTTCAAGCATTTCTTCAATATCTTTTTTTAAATTTAACTTTATTTATTTATTTATTTTTAATTTGACCAGAGGGGGACAGAGGGAGGAGAGAGAGAAAGCAAGAAAACAAGCCACCCGGTCTGAGACTCGAACTGTGGTCAGCCATGTGGGAGTCCAGCACCCTTAACCAACAGGCCACCTGCCAGCCCCTCTTCAATACCTTTTTCCTACCACATTTTCTCTCTCTTCTCCCTTGTGACTCCAACATACTCCTGGTATATCTGATCCCGAGTTTCTTTTTTCTTCTAATTCAAATCTGCGAACCCTTCCAATAAAATCCAGTTATTTTACTTTTACTTTCAATTCCAGAATTTCCATTTGATTCTTTTTAAAGAAGTAATTTATATTGGGGCCAGCAGGTGGCATGGTGGTTGAGTGTACTGGACTCTCACATGGCTAATAGTGGTTTTAGTCCTGGGCCTGGCGGCTTGCTTTCTTACTTTCCCTCTCTTTCTCTCTCTCTCTCTCTCTCTCTCTCTCTCTCTCTCATACTCTGTCCCTCTCTGGTCAAATTAAAGTAAATAAATAAAGTTAAATAAGGTACAAGCAGATGGTGTAATGGTTACATCACTGGATTCCCATGTAGTCGACAGCAGTTTGATTCCCGGACCTAATGGCTTAAAACTCACACCGGATGCCTGCTCATGTGTGCCTAAGATCCCAGGAGGAGAATGGAGGAGAAGGGATTGTAGTGTGGCCATCTGCCCTGGGGGGTGATTTCTGTCTTTCTGTTTCTCTGTCTGTCTGGTGAGTGCATGTGTTCTATAGCAAAAACCTCTCTTGAAAAATAAAATAAATTAAAATAAAATAAAATAAAGTTAAATAAAATAATTATTTACAAATAATTATAATAGTAATTTCTCTATATTTAATATTGTTTATTTGGAGAGACACTATTCTCTTAAATTCCCTATAGATACTTAATTCCCTATGAATATTTGATTCTCCAGGTTTTCCTTTTAGACTCTCTTTTCAAGTTAGCCCCAACAGCTAAGCCCACCTGGTGCTCCTGTGCTACATAACGATCACTGATTGCTGTCCTAAGTTATAATAGTAATTTCTCTATATTTAATATTGTTTATTTGGAGAGACACTATTCTCTTAAATTCCCTATAGATACTTAATTCCCTATGAATATTTGATTCTCCAGGTTTTCCTTTTAGACTCTCTTTTCAAGTTAGCCCCAACAGCTAAGCCCACCTGGTGCTCCTGTGCTACATAACGATCACTGATTGCTGTCCTAAGTGCTCTGTAGCTGGGGTTGTTCACCTAAAGTGGACTATGAGTCATGTCAGATAAAGACAAGCCCCGAGAAATCTTATTTTCAGCAAGTCTCAGACAGGTAAAGTAGTGGGAGTTTTCTTGAAATGGGGCTTTTGGGGAGATTCAAACCTGTCTCACACCCTCCAGAGCCTCCTAGGCTACTAGTTTTTGTAGCTCTCACAGTTGTGGAGCTGCTGGCTTCAAGGTTTCCATAGAACGAGGGAGAAGGAGGTGGAATTAGGGCAAGTTAGTTAAAATGCCACAATATTTACTGTTTTAACCGTTTTTTTTTTTTTTTTTCCTGAATAAAGGCTTTCAAATTGCTATAATGCCTAAAGGTTTAAAAAGCTTGTATTGGGGACCAGCAAATGGCGCAATGGCTGTGGCTGGACTCCCATGTAGTTGACTGTGGTTTGAGTCCTGGACCAGGCAGCTTAAACTCACGCTGGGCGCGTGCGTGTGCATGCCCAAGATCCCGAGAGAATGGAGGAGAAGGGATTGCGGCGTGACCACCCCCCCTGGGGGGTGATTTCTTGCTTTCTGTCTCTTTGTCTCTCTCTGTCTGTCTGGCAAGTGCACACGCCCTATACAAAAACCTCTCCAAGAAAAACAGAAAGAAAAGAAAGAAAAGAAAAGCTTATATTGGGCCAGCAGGTGACATAGTGGTTAAGGTGCTGGACTCCCACATGTCCGACTGTAGCCCTGGTCTGGCAGCTTGTGCATGTAGGCCCCAAATCCCAGGAGAATGGAGGAGAAGAGATTATGGCATCACCAGCCCTTCCCCCACCAGGGGGATGATTTCTCACCTTCCCTCTCTCATTGTCTCTCTCTGGGGAGCACACACTCCTTATGGCAAAAACCTTAAAAAAAAAACTGTATTGATAGTTCTTGCTGACATTCTTACTGCTTAATGGAAGAACAGAATTTCAGAGTTCCTATCCTCTCCATTCTGCAAGTGAGATCTTCCTCCTTTAGTCTTACATATGTTTTGAATCTTATATGAATCATACCCAATCTTCCACTCAGTCTATAATAAGCATTACTTTGAATCTAGTCTTAGGGACAGAAGGATGAACCAGACAGTCTCTGGTCTCAAGACACTAGCATTCCAGATAAGCCTATTCCCAGCTAGATTTTGTTTGAGACAGGATAAATTTGAGGCAGAGTAAGGGAACAGATTTATTCTTCTTTAGAGAAACAGAGGCTTCCCTGAGAAAAGTGGGATTTTAGCTGGGATATGATTTAAGAAACTCTTAAGTCCACCTGTAAATTATAGCCTCATACTTATTCATCACTCATTGCTATAGAATCTCACAGCACACATGAGTTAGAAGACCTCCTAAATGACAGGGAATAGCAGAGAGACATCCCCCAGCTCTGCTTACTCCAAAGCATGGTCATAAAGTATGGATAGGATTTCAACAGGCAGTGGACTCTGGGTTAACAAAACATGGGAAAATTCAGAATTTAATGAACAGTTTGGGTTTTTCTGAGGGCAGCAGAAAACCTTATGTTCTTGTTGTTTGTTTTTACAGTGTGCTGTGTGACCAAAATTTAAAAACTAGCTGCTTTATATGATCTTCTCAAGCTTAACACTTAGATAACGGAGGATTAGTGACTCAGCCCTGCCATTCGAAGGAGAGAGATCTGAATCTTGGCCCTACCATTTTGCCATCTGTGTGGACAAATGTCATCTTAAACTTGCTCAGCCTTTGCTTCCTCTGTGAATCAGGGAGGACAAAGGCCCTCTCTTGAATATGTTGAACAAATTAGATGAGATGATGCACATGGGCTCCCTGGCACGCAGCAGATACTTCCTAAGTAGCAGTATTTTAGAAATCTTTTAAAAATCTAATTAACATATTCTATTTTACAGAGATAAAGACTGCCAAAAGATATGGGATGCATTTAAAAATGCATTTATTTCAAAGAGTCCTTGCAACATTACAGAAGACGACTATCAACCACTACTGAAGTTGGCAAATCAAACCTTACCTTGCAACAAGGTAAACAGGCAATTGTGGACTTTGACACTGGGAATAGGAGCCAGAGGAGAGAGGTCACTGAACGAAATTTTGATTAGGATAAAGGAAGAGGAAAAGCCAGGATATTGGATGTGGGTATGATTGGTAGGAGTGGAATTTGTGGGGTCACTGAGGAAGTAGGATATCAAGATTTAAGATATTTGAAGAAGGGAGATAAGAGAGAGAAATGGGGACACAGAAAAGGAAAGGAAAATTGACTAAAAATCAGACAAAACAAATTTAACACCAAACTCAACTCAAAAATCCAGACAAACAGGGAACCAGCAGTTAGTGTAATGGCTATGTCGCTGGACTCCCCCGTAGTCGACCGCAGTTCACGTCCCGGACTCGGTGGCTTAAAAATCACGCCGGGTGTGTGTGCGTACGTGCTCAAGATCCCGAGAGGAGAATGGAGGAGAAGGGATTGCGGGGTGACCATCCCCCTGGGGGACGATTTCTCGTTTTCTGTCTCTAATGTCTCTTTCTGTCTGTCTGGCGAGCGCACGCGCCCTATAGCAAAAATCTCTCAAAAAAAAAAAAATCCAGACAAACATACAAATGAATGTCACCTAACCTTATATAATTACAAAACTTATCACAACTTCTGATAATAATAAAAAATAATAATATCAATTTGCATTTGTAGAGTTTTTTGTGTTTGTTTGCTTGTTTTTGCTTACAAAGATGGGGTTAAAAAAAAAAAGACTCTATTATCTCCTTAGGCCTTTCCAGTGATCCTGAGGAATAGGCAGCAACACCTCCATTTCACAGTTAAAAGACTGAGGTTTGGTGAATTTTGGTGCCCAGTGAGTGCCTGCTTGTCAAGCTTGGAAAGTGACGAGTACCAATGTAAATGGTGTAAGCCTTGGAGCCAGAGAACCCTGAGTTTCGATATGTTGCTTATACTGAAAGAGGTCTACCATGGACTGTATTTTTCTTCTTTTTTAAAAAAAGAATTATTTTAACTTTATTTATTTATTTATTTTAATTTTGACCAGAGAGAGACAGATCAATTGTGAAAGTAAGAGAGGGAGACAGTGAGAGAGAGAGGGAAAATGAGAAAGTAAGTCACCAGGTCCAGGACTCGAACCATGGTTGGCCATGTGGGAGTCCAGTATCCTTAACCACTATGCCACCTGCCGGCTTTATAAAAGACTGCATCTTTTATACAGTCATCATTTAATGCAAAAACTCCATGTGTCGTCTAAAATTGTTTTTGTGAAGCCTTTAAGTCCATCCACAAATTGCAGCTTCTCATCTCATTACTAGCCAACCGGAGTTGTGGTGCTTCTTGGTACACCAATACACACAGGTGGTGCTAGGTAAATAACCCAAACTGACATTTGTCAAGTCGGTGACTGTGTGATAGACACTTTGATAAACAATTTATTTGCATTGCCTTATTTAGTCTCCCCTGCATCTCATGAGCTTATTATAGTCATTATTACCATTTTATGGGTGTGGAACTTGGTTGTCCAAGTTCAGACAGGCTTCATAAGGAGTAACTCCAGGGCCTATACTTTAAACCATCACCCTCCACTGCCTCATATTAAGAATGAATAGATTCGCAGAACAACACATTATTCTGATATTTGAGTGTCTGGACCTTTAAGAGGAGACCCCGCTGACAGGGAAAGGGGAGAAACCATTGTGTTCTTTCTTTCTTTTTTTTTTGGTTGTGTAGAGAAAATTTAGGAGTTATGGAGCTCTTTAAGAATGAAAGAGCACCGGGACGAGCAGTTGGAGTAATGGCTGTGTCGCTGGACTCCCACGTAGTTGACTGCTGGACTCCCACGTAGTTGACTGCTGGACTCCCACGTAGTTGACTGCTGGACTCCCATGTAGTTGACTGTGGTTCAAATTCCAGACCTGGTGGCTTAAACTCACACTGGGCACATGTATGTGCGTACCCAAGATCCCAAGAGGAGAATGGAGGAGAAGGGATTGTGGCGTGAACACCACCCCCCTCCGCCCCGGGATGATTTCTCACTTTCTATCTGTCTCCCTCTGTCTTTCTGGCAAGCACATGCACCCTATAGAAAAAAAAACTCTCAAAAAAAAAAAAAAAGGAATGAAAGAACACCTCCCCTAGAAAATAACACAGAAATGACCAGATAGTATGGTGGTTAGGCACTGTGCAGAAGCTGGATCCCATATGACAACTGGTCAGGGTTCAAGTCCTGGCCCTGTAGACTTGAAAAACATATGGGGCATGTGAGCATGCCCAGGATCCTGCCAGGATGGAGAATTAGGGGAAAAAGGATTGTGGCATGATCAGGCCCTAATGGGGGATACTTTGTCTCCTCTCCCCCACTTTCTGTGTACATTCTCCAGCATTTAAAAAAAAAAAAAGAAATCAGTACAAATTTTTTTTTTTTTTAGATAACAAAGATTAGGAATATTGGAATTCTCTATTCTTCCTCCAAATGCAGCCTAGATCCCATGTTAATTACAAGCTTTTTTTTTTTTTTTTTTTTGAGAGGTTTTTGCCAAAGGGGGGGGGCGCTCGCCAGACAGACAGAGAGAGACAGAAAGCGAGAAATCACCCCCCAGGGGGGATGGTCACGCTGCAATCCCTCTCCTCCATTCTCCTCTCAGGATCTTGGGCACACATGCACACGTGCCCGGTGTGAGTTTAAGCCATAAGGTTCAGGATGCGAACTACGGTTGACTACATGGGAGTCCAGCGACATAGCCATTACGCTAACTGCTGGTCCCAATTATAAGCTTTTGATGAGTGACTTTCATACCCTTTTGACTAAAACCAGAATAATTCATTTATTTTACAGTGTGGACTAAAACACACACACGCACACTCGCTCTCTCTCTCTCTCTCTCACCTCACTCTCTCACTCAGGAAGCAATGATGACTATAGCAATCTTTACCCTTACTATATATGATTTACTCTATTTTCTGTTTTCTTCATTTGTAAAAAATTCAAATGTATTTATTTTTGCTGTCCGAAATAGATCTCAATAATAGGTTGTGTTCATTTTTTCTTAGACCCTCCTCTGGAGCAAAACGAATGTGCTGGCCCATCAGTACTCACGGGTCCAGGGGGACATGCTCACCCTGGAGGACACGCTGCTGGGCTACCTTGCTGACGGTCTCATGTGGTGTGGAGATGCAAGCAGCTCTGGTGAGGATTGGGGCCACGTGGGCTTGTTTTAAGACGTGCAGGTAAAGAAACCCAGAGCTCTTCACGGGGGTGCTGAAAAAGCAGTGCATAGGCAGAAGAGGCAGGCACCCGCTCTGATGCCACCTGTGCCCTCAGCGACAGCTCCGGTTGCTGTCCAGGAGCATTTCCTAGCCTGTCACCTGTTTTCAGAGGTTGGGCTGCCCATGGTTCATGATTCTTTCCTTCTTTCTGAATGCTCACGTAGCCAGCTTCTAAATTCTTGGGATTTTGATTTCTATACGGGCATCATTTAGATTAAAAAAAAAAAAAATCTAGAGCAGGATGAGTTAGGCCAGAGCCCTCGCTCCACAAAACAACCACTGTAGCCATGGGTTGGGCTCCTCTGTATCTCAGGCCAGTCTGTGGCTTTGCCATTATTTTTAAGATGTAGCCTTATTGCGCCTAGGAAGAACGAGAATACCTCACTGAGATAAGATAGATTTTACTCACAAAACCATTACACCAATTTTCACTTTTTAAAATTTCTATTTAGGTGGTAGATTTTTTTTGGGGGGGGGGAGGTTTTGTTATAGGGTGCGTGCACTCGCCAGAGACAGAGAGAGAGACAGAGAGACAGGAAGTGAGAAATTATCCCCCGGGGTACACTGCAATCCCTTCTCCTCCCTTCTCTTCTCGGGATCTTGGGCACGCCTGCACATGCGCCTGGCATGGGTTTTAAGCCACCGGGTCTGAGACTCGAACCATGGTCAACTACATGGGAGTCCAGCGACATAGCCATTATGCTAACTGCTGGTCCCGGTGGTAGATTTTTTAAAAAGAATTATTTTATTTATTCTTTTAAGAATTGTTTTATTTAATTTTACTTATCATTGCTATTCATTTGTTTATTTATTTTAACTTGAGCAGAGAGAGACACAGAAAGAGAGAGAGGGAAAGTGAGAAAGCAAGCTGCCAGGTCTAGGACTTGAACCATAGCCATGTGGGGGTCCAACATCCCAACAACTATGCCATCTGCCGGGCCCTTTATTTTTCTTTCTTTTTCCTTTTTTTTAGAGGTTTTGCTATAGGGCGTGTGCGCTCGCCAGAAAGACAGAGGGAGACAGACAGACAGAAAGCGAGAAGTCACCCCCCAGGGGGATGGCCACACTGCAATCCCTTCTCTCAGGATCTCGAACATACACACACACTCACCTGTCATGAGTTTAAGCTGCCGGGTCCAGGACTCTAACCGTGGTCTACTATGTGAAACTCCAGCGACATAACCATTACGCTACCTCCTGGCCCTGAATCTTTTATTTTAGTCATTGTTTTATCTCTAGGATTTCTGTTTTGCTTCCTTTTATTGTTTCTATTCCTTTGTTAAACTTCTCACTTTAGGCTAGCTCCATGGTATAGAATAATGTGGTGGTCAAGAAAAACTGGATCCCACATAATGACCATGGTTTGAATTCCCAGCTCAGTCAGCCGGAAACATGCCAGGCTGGGACCAGCAATTGGCGTAATGACTATGTCGCTGAACTCCCATGTAGTCGACCGCAGTTCGAGTCCCAGACCCGGTGGCTTAAACTCATGCTGGGCGCATGTGCGTGCGTGACCAAGATCCTGAGAGGAGAATGGAGGAAATGGAGAAGAAGGGATTGTGGCATAACCATCCCCCCTGGGGGGTGATTTCTCACTTTCTGTCTCTCTGTCTCTCTCTGTCTGGCGAGCGCAAGCCCCCTATAGCAAAACACAACAAAAACAAAACAAAAACAAAAACCAAAACAAAACAAAACATGCCAGGGCGTGCACTCGCCAGAAAAGATCTGATGGGCAGGATGATTGCAGAAAGGGGATTATAGTACAACCATATGCTATGGAATGTATTACTCTTTTTCTTCCTCTCTCTCTCTTTCTTACTCTTACAAGTGCACACACTAACTCTGTCATAAATAAAGAAGAAAGACTTTTTTTTTTAAGGTTTTTGCTATAGGGTGCGTGCACTCGCCAGAAAGACAGAGAGAGACAGAGAGACAGAAAGCAAGAAATCACACCCCAAGGGGGGATGGCCATGCCACAATCTCTTCTCCTCCGTTCTCCTCTCGGGATCTTGGGCACGCACGCACACGCACCCGGTGTGAGTTTAAGCCACCAGGTCCAGGACTCAAACCACCGTTGACTACATGGGAGTCCAGAGACATAGCCATTACGCTAACTGCTGGTCTTGAAGAAAGACTTTTAAAAAGAAATTTCTCACTTTGTGTATCTGTTTGGAATTGCACCTAGTTTTCTGTCTATATTTTCGTGTAGTTCACTGATTTACTTTAAGGGAATCATTCTGAATTCTTTGTCAGTCATTGCGTAAGTCTCTATATCCTTAGGATTCATTATTAGAGTTTTATTAGTTTCTTTTGGAGGTGTCATGATTCCTCAGTTCTTTATAATGTTTATGTTCTTGTTCTATTGTCTGTGTTTTTGAGAGCACAGCTCTCTCTTCTGGCTTTCAAAGGTGTTTGTTAGCAGGGATAGACCTTCACTTTTTAGTCTGGATTCTGGAGGTACCACCTGGTGATGACCCCAGGCAGGTAGAGTTAATTATGGATTTTCTTTTTCTTTCTTTCTTTTTTTTTTCTTTAAGAATTATTTATGGGACCAGCAGATGGTGTAATGTTTGCGTTGTTGGATTCCCATGTAGCTGACCACAGTTTAAGTCCTGGACTTGATGGCTTAAAACTCGTGGCACATGAGCATGAGTCCCCAAAATCCCATCACCCCTGGGGAGTGATTTCTTGCTTTTTGTCTTTCTGTCTCTCTTTTTCTGGTGAGTGCATGTGTCCTATTGTAAAAATCTCTAAAAATAATAAAATAAAATAAAAAGTAAGTTAATTTTACTTACTATTATTATTGTTTTTAAATTTGGTCACATGCACTCACCAGGGAGATAGAGATAGAGACAGAGATAGAGATGATAGAGAGAGAGAGAAAGAGAGAGAAAGTGAGAAAGCATGCCAATAGGTCTAGGACTCAAACCATGTGGGAGTCCAGCACCTTAACCACCATGCCACCTGCTGGCCCCAAATTGTGTATTTTCTGGCTAGATGGGCTGCTGCCTTTGCTCTGATGTTGGTTGGGAATGCTGGAGGAACTGAATTATTTGGTGACACCCCTGATTGGGCTCTTCTGTCAGAAAGAGCTGCTGGCCGGGTACTGCAATGGCTTCTGGTGAGGCCAGTAATTTTCCTTGGTTGAGAAATTTGCAACTTGGAAACTGAATTTGGTCAGGGCTACAGGCTGAGCTCTGAGGTTAGGTGGTGGGGAGGATTAGAGGCCATGCTCCTTATAAGTACATAGTTGAAGATTTCCTCCCCTATAAGAGTTGAGTTATGGGGAGTGCTTTTGGATGAGCAGAGTGGCTATTTGACTTCCTGGCTCAACTATATCTAGAGCTGATGCTTCTCTGAAATGCAGGGAAGTGGAAAAAGGGTCATTGAGTTGGCTTTTAGGTTGAGTGGAGCCACAGTTCTAGCCCCTGTGTATCTCTGAATAGGTGGAGGCAGTCATCTTCCTGCATGGGAACGGTCACTGGGGTGGGCTCTAAGACTAGAGACTAGACATTGAGGGACTCAGAGCAGGTTGAACTTTCCAATGTGATTCTGAAAACAACCAGTTCACCTTTGCAAATGGTCTATGAAACTGGTTGGTATTTCTGATTGGGCACAAGAGCTGGCAGGAACACCAAGATCTGTTCCCTGGTAACTATGAATTGTGCCTCTTTTCTTTTATTTTAGAAATTTTTTTTCTTATAATCATTTTTATTTAACTTTATTTATTTATTTGTTTATTTCAATTTGACCAGAGAGGGACAGAAAGAGAGAGAGAAGGCGAGCCGCCAGGTCCGGGACTCGAACCGTGGTTGACCATGTGGGAATCCAGCACCTTTAACCACCACGCCACTTGCTGGCCCCATGTGCCTCTTTTCTTGATTTCCCTTGACCCCAGTTGGTATAGCCATAACACTAACCCAATATCCCTGTGAGGTGAGACCGAAATGAACCTTTTAGGAAGTATCTCTGAATGGTAAGGAAGTTGCCTCTGGTTCTCTTATTCCCCTGTAGAAACCAGAAGCCCAAGGAAATCCTCTGACTGGAGGATGGGGAACAGGAGTGCAAGTCAAAGTGTGACCTTCCTTTTTACCCAATTCAAATTTAATTTTCATTTAGTTAGGCAGACCACAAAGGTGTCTCAAGCTTGTTTCCAAGTCTAAAACTGTCTTAGTCCATTTTGTCTTGCTATGATAGAATACCACAGACTGGGAAATTTATTCATTTATTTTAAAAATATTTATTTAATTTTATTGATTTATTCATGTATTGTTATTTAATCAGAGAAAAAGACACACAAAAAGAGAGAGAGGGAAAGGGAGAAAGCAAGTCACCAGGTCCAGGACTCAAATTGTGGTTGGCCATGTGGGAGTGTTCAGTGCCTTCACAACACCCAGACTGGATAATTTATGAAGAACAGAGCTTTATTTCTCACGGTTCTAGAAGCTAGGAAGTCCAAGAGCATGGTGTTAACATCTGACTAAAGTCTTATGGTGAAAAGGCAAGGAAGCATGCAAAACATGCATAGATGCAATTAATAATCATGGAATTAAAAGATGAATTTGGATGCTATTCCAGTACAGCAAAAAAATGTGATGATGAACATATATTTTGTAAGGTACTTTATTTTTCCTTCCTCCTTTCTTATCTACCTCTTTTCCTCCTCTCTCTTGCTAGTCTTTTCCCCTTTTGATTTTTTTTCTCTCCCTCTCTTTCTCTCTCTCTTCTTTCCTTTGTTCCTACCTCCCTCTCCATCTTTTTCTCTCTCTTTTTTCCTCCTTTCTTTCTTCAGGGACTGGCCCCATAAGCCTTTATTTATTAACTCTTTTATTCTTTTTTTAAGATTTAATTAATTTATTTATTTTAAATAAAAACTATCTATTTAATTTTATTCATTCATTCATTTATTTTAATTTGAAAAGAGACAGTGACAAAGAGAGAGAGAGAGAGAGACAGAGAAAGAGGGAAAGTGAGAAAGCAAGTCACCAGGTCTGGGACTTAACCCATGGTCGGCCATGTGGGAGTGTCCAGCACCTTAGCCACCTCACCACTTGTTGCCTCTCTTTTAATTTTTAAGAAAGATGTTTGCTCTAGGGTACGTGTACCTTACAGAGAGACAGAGAGAGTCAAAAAGAAAGAAAGCATGAAATCACCCACCCCAGTGGGGTGGCCACACCATAATCCCCTTTCCTCCACTTTCCTCTCAGGATTCTGGGCACACATGCACATGTGTGAGTTTTAAGCTGATGTGAGTTTTAAGCTGCTGGGTCTGGAACTCAGCGGTTGACTACATGGGAGTCCAGCGACATAACCATTATACCATCTGCTGGTCCCTATTTATTTTAATTTTTTGACCAGAGAGAGAAAGTGAGAAAGCAAGTCTCTAGGTCTGAGACTTGAACCACGGTTGGCCACATGGGAGTCCAGTGCCTCAACCACCACGCCGCCTGTTGACCCCTTAACTATTTTATTCTCATTGCATAGTTCTTGGACACTACATTGAGTCATTTTTTTTTTCTGTAAAGTTTTTAATTTTATATTTAAGATGTATATTTTGATATATGTATAATATTGAACAGATTACTACACTAAGGATAATTATTGTATCTGTCTCTTCCATAATTACCATACTCTTTTTTGGTGATCTGCCCCCACTCTGGTTCTTACCCTATAGTTCTTAATCTCCTATAGTTAGTCACCAACCTAATATATTTGTTTAATAAATTATCATTTTTCTCTATCGCATTACTATGCAGAGTCACACTCTCCTTTCTTGCTGAGACTGTTGTAGAACTCTTTTAGGATATTGCTTACCTGTTAGGCATCTGGCAACTAGAGTGTTTCTCCTAAAACAGAAATGTGATGGTACTGTCTCCTATGTAAAACCTAAATAGGTATCTTTTGCTTCTAGGGTAAAGTCCAACTTTCTAAATTCCTTCACTTTGCCTGGCCTCTGTCTTTCATGTGCCTTATCTTTCATCCTCCTCTTCCTTACCGCTTCTGCTCTAGTACTAACCTAAACTCATTAGTCTGTCTCAGAGAAGTTCTCTCTGTGTGGAGCAGCTTATTCAATCTCATCTGTCTGAAGACTTCCGTTTATCCTTCAAAAACAAGTTCAATGTCAACCTTCGCTGATGGTGCTACTTTAAAATACATACCCACCCCCAACCCAAGTTGATCTTTCTTTGGTTTATTTGATTACATAATATCATGTGTTCTCTGAAGGCAGGGATCCCATCCAACTCACCTCTTTATCCCCAGGACCTCATACTTATAAATGTTTGTGTATTAGGTCAGATATCCTTGAGAGATGTGACACAGAAATCATGTATTCCTGCTCTGTGTCTCTTGTGTCTCACTGAAGTCTGAGCCTGTCTTGGTGGGCAAGTATGCAGGAAAACTCTGAGGCCATCTTAGCCTAAGCATTTGGAAACCTATGAAGGTGAGGGAGAAAAGTCTGCATAAGAGACAATCCTCAGGAAGCAGAGAAATTGTTGGCAAGAGTGAGCCCTGAGACCTGGCCTATCTCTAATTCTTCCTGCACTCAGTGATAATATTGGGGGCTTGTCTCTGCCAGAAAACTTTTGCTGCTATTTCCCAGAATAATGACTCAAAACTCATCACTGTGTTCCTCTCTGGATTTAGACGGTAAGGTCAGGACTTGGAAAGGGATTCAGGGGACACTTAGTTAAATTGGATTGAGATGTGTCCATTCTCCATCTTCCATCTTGGCAGTGAGGTCATTGGAAAATGGTTCTACCGTGATCAAATAGCTACAGGAGAATGGAGCTTATTTATACTCTTTTTTTCCTTCCAACTTTAATTATTTTCTATAAACTATGTCTTTTAGAAATAAACTACAAGTCTTGCCCAGACTGGAGAAAAGACTGCAGCAACAACCCCCAGTCAGTATTCTGGAAAACAATTTCCCAGAGTGTAAGTACCAAATAGTGAAATTCTAGAATTTTGAAGACCAAAGATGTCATCCAGTCAGAGGTTGGTTTCAACACTTTTTGGATCATAGATTTTTAAGGAAATTTTTAAGGGTTTCACAATTTAATTTCAAATCTTTCCATGGTGTCAATTTCACCTATACAATAAAATTCAGATTCCTTGACAAACAGTCATGGTCCTCCATGAACTAACTTATCTACCCAACATTCCCTTCTCAAACACCATTGTTCGCTTAAACCCTTAGGTCTTGCCATTCATGGCTATCTCAGCCTTTATCTGGGGAAAACCTTTAGGACTTGGTTTCGCTTTGTCTGTTCATTCCTTACCTCCACTACAAAATGCTGGACGCTTTGCTTCCTCATTTCTTCCTTCTCCCCTCTTTTTCTTCCATGCATTTTTATTAGGTGCTCACTTTGTGCCATGCACCAAGTATAAGGCACCCAGTGCTGTAAAGGCAAGAGGGCAGTGAGCCTGTGGCTCTAACAGCCCTTAGTATTGGCAGCTAAACCAGCATTGGGCTCATCACTACACTGTGATATAGTTGATTAATGTGAAGGAGACATGGGGTATTGCAGGGTTCAGAGAAGGGGACCTGAGCTTCAGGAGTCTGGGTAGGTCTCCTGGAAGAAGCACATAGACCATTTTAACTTGTTCATTTTGTTTTCCCCAATGCCTAGCCAAGATTTCTGGTGAATGTTTGCTACACGAAGAAATAAAACTCCTTGATCCATCATATTTATTCATTCGTTCCATTCACTAATTCAAACCTTCTCTCTCTTTTCAGGCTTCAGGTTGCCTCTTCTCTCCTCAGTTTCTCCTTCTGTGATGTTTCTATTTTTCTTACCTCTGAATCATCTTCCCTGCTCCCACTAAATAGTATGTAGGACATGGCATTTAGGGAGAGCTTTCATCTTCCTCCACTAGCAATATTCCTCCTATTCTTCTGGACTTTCGACTACTGAAACACCAAATTGTGAGCAATAATGTTTGAGTTCATTGTTCAAACACTTACAGGAGTCAGCAGATAGTGTGGTGGTTAAGGTGCTGGACTCCCATCAAGTACTGGGCTCAGTGGCTTGACATGCATGCCAAGCATGTGCGTATCTCAGGAGGAAAATGGAAGAGAAAGGACTACAGCATGGCCATCCCCCCCAGGTGGTGATTTTTCACTTTCCCTCTCACCATCTCTCTGGGCACACACGCCCGATGACAAAAACCTTAAAAACAAAACAGAACAAAACTTGCACAATATATAATTGCTTTAAGAAATTTAATGTGAAGCACAATCCCTCCAATGGCTTGGAATAAAAATCACATAATGTTTCTGTGCTAAAATCATAAAGGATATTCTCTCCTTAACCAGCTAATACTAAGCACTATTTTTGGATGGAGCATGCTGAGGAATAATGAGCACTTTTTTTTTTATAAGTTTGCAGAAGCTGCCTGTGGTATGGTCCATGTGATGCTCAATGGATCCATCAGTAAAGCCTTTGACAAAAACAGGTAAGTATTTCTTTGCATCCTATTTGTGGGATTTATCACAGCCTCCTGTTGGCTATTTCATTCCTAGATAGAATTTGCTTTTCATGTTTCAGACCAGGTAAAGATTTGGGCTAGGGACCCGCAGTTAGCGTAATGGCTACGTCGCTGGACACCCATGTAGTCGACCGTGGTTTGCGTCCTGAACGTGGTGGCTTAAACTCACTCCGGGCGCATATGCGTGCGTTCCCAAGATCCCGAGAGGAGAATGGAGGAGAAGGAATTGCGGCGTGGCCATCCCCCCTGGGGGGTGATTTCTCGCTTTCTGTCTCTCTGTCTCTCTCTGTCTGGCGAGTGCATATACCCTATAGCAAAAACCTCTTAAAAAAAAAGATTTGGGCTAAAAAAGGTAACAATTTCATATTCTCTGGAGAAATTTGTTTTTCTAAGTCAGAGATTTTGTCTGATTTTTTCTTTGTCTAAAATCCTGTAATGGTCCTAACGGCCATTGCACTATATCAACCCCTGCTTTTTACTTTTCAGGGCCTGTATAATTCTCCCAACTTTCTCCCCATTACACTACACCTGCACATTTCCCACCTTCGTTCATGCTGTTCCCCCATATGGTCTGCCTCCCTTTGCTGCTGCTTCTGCCTGTATAAACCCACACCATCCACAAAGGTCTAGTCTGACTCCTTGACTCCTCTATTCCCCGTAATGGGTGTGAATCTCAATTCAGCAGCAAAACTACTGCTGGGAATACCTGGCACAGTACTATGCTCTGGACCTTCAAGATCTCTTTGCAGGCGGAATCGACATCTGATTAAGACTGTTGACAGAAATTACCAACTCTGCAAAAATAATAATTAATGAGGCTTACTTCAAGCAGAATGTGTGTGACCTAGGCCCCAAACATGCCTTTCTTGGGGTGATTAGGTACAGGGGTTCTTTTTACTTGATTTTGAGAGACAAAGTTTGAAATTTAGTGAAGAGTTATTTTAGGGGCCAGCAGTTAGAGTAATGGCTATGTTGCTGGACTCCCACGTAGCCAACTGCGGTTCGAGTCTCGGACCCGGTGGCTTAAACTCATGCCAGGTGCATGTGCGTGCGTGCCCAAGATCCCGAGAGGAGAATGGAGGAGAAGGGATTGCAGCGTGGCCATCCCCCCTCGGGGGTGATTTCTTGCTTTCTGTCTCTCTGTCTCTCTCTGTCTGGTGAGCACACGTGCCCTATAGCAAAAAAAAAAAAAAAAAAAAACTCTCAAGAAAAAAAAAGATTTATTTTATTAATCTGGCCCAAAAAGGAGGGACATGTGGGAGAGGAGGGACTTGTAGGCTATAGGTGGGTTTTATAGTTTTTAGGTTGGTGATTAGGAAAAGAGAGGTTGCTGGAGTTGGCAGGTGGCGTGGTGGTTAGAGGCGCTGGACTCCTATGTGGCTGACCTTGTTTTGAGTCCTGAAACTAGCAGCTTGCTTGCTCACTTTCTCCACCCTGCTCCCCTTTCTCTCTGGTCAAATTTAAAATAATGATGATAATTATAAATAATGTTAAATAAAATAATTCTTTTTAAAAAAGGAAAAGAAAAGGTGCTAAAATCAGAAAAGAATGTTCTTTAACAGAGATAAGGAGGCTTAATATACATCCCAATGATACTATGCCAGGGACAGGATGTAGGGTGAGTCCTATTACCAATGGATCAAAATGGTCTGTTAATGTTTGCAGGTGTGACTCCCTCCAGGCCCTCTAATAACTTTTTTAAATAGAAAAAAAACAGACTTCTATCCTCAAAAGTGACCTCAAGAGGTCATTATTATTACCTGTGTGACCTTAGCCAAGACACCTAACCTCTGTGAGCCACTGTACTATACACCTGAAGAGGTGATGGTGATACAAAGATTAACTGATGGTGTGCGAAGTGATGAGCCACTGAATGCACACTCAGTCTGCTCACACCCATGACCTCTTTGCTTGACCCCCCTCTATACTTACTGTTTACACATTGATAGTCTTTTTTGGCCTTATGCTCTCCAATCTTTCCCCAGATAAGGCCGATTGAAGGAGGTAGTATATGTTAATTTGCCCTGGTAACTCTAGGTGCCCCAAATTTTCCCTCTTACCTGTTTTAATATTTAGTCCAAAAGAAGCATTCATCCTTTTGTCTTCAGATCTCAGTCTTGTGGATGAAAGTATTAACAATTCAGAATTTTATAATCTGATATTAGGAATACAAGTATTTGCAACAGAAGTGGCAGTGTCAGAAACTAACAGGGAAGAATTTAGGAATGGGATTGGGACAGCTCTAAGGCTTGCTTCTCAAATTTCACTGTGTTTGTAAACTGCCTGAGGATTGATCAACTACAGAATAACTCAGCAAGTGGTGGTGGGCTGCCCTTCTGCAGGTCTCCTTAGATCCCAGCTGGTGCTCATTATGCTGGTATAGGACTACTGTTTGAATGGCAGATTGCTTATTTATTTATTGAGGTCAGAGGGTAGGTAGGAATTGGCAGCAAAGGGCAAGAGGAAAAGGATTAAGAAATGTTCTATATCTTGATTATGGTCGTATGAGTTATGATTCATGGTCAGTTCCCTTAAAACGGGTGCATTTAAATGTGTATGAATTACACCTCAAGAGAATTCATGTTTTGGGACCAGCAGTTAGAGTAATGGCTACGTCACTGGACTCCCATGTAGTCGACCGCAATTCGAGTCCCGGACCTGGTAGCTTAAAAAACTCATGCCAGGTGCGTGTGTGAGTGCCTAAGATCCCAAGAGAGGAGAATGGAGGAGAAGGGATTGCAGCACGGCCATTCCCCTGGGGGGTGATTTCTTACTTTCTGTTTCTCTGTCTTGTGAACACACGCACCCTACAGCAAAAAACCTCTCAAAAAAAAAAAAAGAGAGAATTCATATTTTGAACTCTACAAAACTGAAAAGATTGAGAAGATATGGAATAATGAGAGAAAATAAGTTCCCAGGAAAATATATATTCAGTTGATTTTGACAAAGGCACTAGTTATTTTATTTATTTATTTATTTATTTATTTATTTATGGAGAGGTTTTTGCTACAGGGCGCATGTGCTCGCCAGACAGAGAGAGACATAGAGACAGAAAGTGAGAAATCACCCCCCAGAGGGGATGGTCACGCTGTAATCCATTCTCCTCCATTCTCCTCTTGGGATCTTGGGCACGCACGCACACGCGCCTGGCGTGAGTTTCAAGCCATCGGGTCCCGGACACGAACCGCGGTCGACTACGTGAGAATCTAGCGACACAGCCATTACGCTAACTGCTGGTTCCCGGAACTAGTTATTTTAATGGAGAAAATTTTCTTTTTTCTTTTTCTATCCAAGCAAACGATATAAAGAATACAAAAGAAAAAAATACAAGACAAGTCAACAATTAGCTTGTCATTATTGGGATACATAGAAATATCATCATGCATACTAAAATCCTAATAAGCATACATAATTAAACCAATTTATGAAATAGACTGCCATGCAACAGAAGTTAGTTCATTTCATAATACACATGTTCTATTTTTCTTTTTTTTAACTTACATTTTTCCATCTGTCAAATGTTTCCTACTCTTGTACCTTGAATGGCAAGTATTCAAAGAATCAACATCAATGCACAGATTAAGAATCTTATTTTGAAAATCTTGTTAATTGATGGTCATGTTGAATGAGAAATGTGACTGATGGGTCAGTTTCCAAAGTAGATCCTAACTGGTGGTCTTGCTGGGTTTCACTAGGTGGGAGAGGGATGGAGGGATCAGGGAAGGTGGGCAGTAAGGATACCTGAATACATAGGTTGAGGTTGACAGTGTTCCTTTTCTCCTCTGTCTTAGCATTCTTGGAAGTGTGGAAATCCTTCATTTGAATCCAGAGAAGGTTCATACACTACAGGTCTGGGTGATGCATAGTGTTGGAGGAATTTCCAGGTATATTTTACTACCTGTACCATGAGAGCCCCAAATCTGACAGGGCCTGCCCATAATGTATATCAACTCCAAAAAAGTCACCCAGGAGTCCATGAGTTTGTTCAATTTAAGGGATGCCTCAATGGCAGCTGATCAACAAGAGATCCATGCCACATTGCTGTATAGCAGTCAGTTACATATACAGTCAGATCAAAGCAACTGTCATTAGTGGGGTCCGGTAGGCTTTCTGTCTCTCAGTACCTGGATCTGGTTATTGTCTCTACTGTTTGAAGATGACATTAATTACAGTAAAAATTACTTATCTACTAACAGAATTAACAAATTATGCTCCCTATGTATGAGTGCCCGGGGCCTTGCTATATGTATGTGCTTACTCACTCTCTTAGACTGGGCTCCAGCTGGGAGCTCTTAGGGCACAGGGAAAGGCTGTATTCCTGTGAGAACAGTCTTAGCTGGGGGTTTGGGGAAGAAATGTCAATGTGCAAGGCATACCCTACAGTACCAAGTGATTTATTAAATCACTCCACAAAAACATCCATAGTCACGAGAATGCAGTGGGAACAGACTGGCTTAGGAGGTGAATGGAGCCTTACTATACATTTAACCCATCCCAACAACCTCTTAATCTTATCTCCACAATGGATCTCTAAGTGGTTCACCATCAGTTCCCTTGCACCTGAGAGCTCCTATAGGCTGGATTTATGCTGCACCTCTTTCTCCCAGGGTCTTGTCAAGGGTCTGCTTCAAAAAAATAAATAAATAAATAAAAACTAAGGAAATGTTTGTGAAGGCTTGCCATTTTAATACTTTCTTCTTTCTTCCGCAGTGATTCATGCTCAGGTTCCTCAGTAAATGAACTGAAAATGATAATAAACAAAAGGAATATTGCATTCGTCTGCCAGGATGACTACAGGTAATGGACTTCTGCTTGAAGGAAACAGGACTGTCTTGACATCTGTAGGCATTTCTCCTTTTCTTGGCCTCCTCTGGGATGGAAAGGCTGCATAAGTCTCCCTTAGGCATTGATGGGGCTCTCAGATAGTGACCTAGGATGTTCTCTCTCCTTCCCCCAAGCATAGCCAGGGCCTTCACATGGCCACCTATCCCTCATCCTTCTCTTCCTTTCTATCTGCCTCAAGCAGCAACTCACCTTTGAAGCTGACCTAGCCTGTGAGGGCATATTTCTTGGTTTCTAGTGTGAGCAGTCCAGCCCAGGCCTTACAGGCCTGCTAGGTTTCAGGTAAACAAAAGCACATTTTCCTAAGACCTTTCTCCCAAGTCATAAAATCTTTGTGACTTGGCATAATTTTGCATATGAAGTTTACTTAGTTGGTTCTAGGTATAAGTTGCCATATAGCAGTCTACCAGAATTTACCTAATTTAAATTTTAAAAATTACCAATATTTCATGTTTATTGTAAAATAGTTTAAAATATAGATAGTACTTATTTTTCTTTTTTAAAGTACATTTTATTTCTTCCATGAGTAAAGAGACAGAGAAAAAGAGAGACAGAAAAGACAAAATGCCAACACCTCCAACAGAGTCTTGATGTCAGATCCACCCCCAGCTTCAGCTGGCCCTGTATCATGGACACAAACATGTTTGGCATACCCAGGATGGGCTCTGGGATGTGACACTAGAACCTACTCACGTGGGTCAGGCTTGTAGAGCATTGCATTTTACCGTTGTGCCACCATCCAGATGGGTACATTACATTTTTTTTTTTTTTTTAATTTGCTATAGGGTGTGCATTCACTGGAGATGGAGAGCAGGAGGTGGGGGAGAGAAAGCGAAAAAGCAAGCCCTCCATCACCGGGGGGAGGGATGACTATCCCATCTGTTCTCCTCTCCGGATTCTGGGCATGCATGCACATGTACCTACTGTCTTCCTTGCGCCAGCAGGTCTGGGATTCGAACTGCACGGTTGGCCACATGGGATCCAGCTGCCATCTGATTGGTCCAGGGCATGCATTTTTAAAGTCACTTGTAACTGTTTTCAAAACTGGGACCAACCTCCTCACGTTTAAGTAGTTGTGACCATTGATGTAAGGTAGGGACTCATTGCTAATAGCATCTTTGGAGATTTTTCTCTCCCCATGTGTGATAGCTTAGAACAAGACTTATAGGGAGGAAAAGTTTTCTAAGAATGTAGAAGCTGAAATGCTAAAATGTTTTTCCTGTCTCCTTCATGTTAGCACTCTCTCCCACCAGCCACATCACAAAGGTGAGAGAGATTCAAGGGGCTCTTGTTTCCCAGTGACCTGAATTCCTGCAGTCAGCTGGATCCTATCTGCAAACTGCCAGAAAAATCACATAAGCATTCTGCAGCAGTTAGATGATAGAAAGAGAAAAAAAACAGCTAACTGTAAGATAAATCTCACAGACATCTGACCAGTCTACACTATTTGAAGGTATCTTGTATGGGGAAAATAGAACAGTAGAAACTTCAAAAAAGATTGGGAAATGAAAGTGAGGCTTGTCTTTTTTCTGATATTAAACATTTCCCTTTCTCTCATCAATGGCCAGAAGTTCTTGTATTAAAGCCCTTCAAAGGGATTAGCAGTTGGCATAATGGCTACGTCACTGGACTCCCATGTACTCAACCACGGTTCGAGTCCCGGACCCGGTGGCTTAAACTCACGCCAGGAGTGTGTGCGTGTATGCCCAAGATCCCAAGAGGAGAATGGAGGAGAAGGGATTGCGGTGTGACTATCCCCCCAGGGGGTTATTTCTTGCTTTCTGTCTCTCTCTTTCTGGCAAGCACACATGCCCTATAGCAAAAACCTCTCCAAAAAAAAAAAGAAAGAAAGCCCTTCAGGTACTCTATTTGTGCCTATTCCAGGTCCCAGTAGAGCTCTCTCCTATCTGGAAAGAACACATAGGCAGAGCTTCCACCTGTACTTGTACAGACAGCGATCTATGTAGGAAGCAGGCCATTTGTTAGCCAACACCTGTTATTAGAGCACAGGGCCCATGTTATAACTGAGAATCATGACTTTGAAGTACAGATGGTTTTTTTTTGTTTTTTTTTTGTTTGTTTTTTTTTTGTTTTTTTTTTTGACAGATTTTCACTGTAGGGCGCGTACGCTCGCCAGACAGACAGAGAGAGACATAGAGACAGAAAGCGAGAAATCACCCCCCAGTGGGGATGGTCACGCTGCAATCCCTTCTCCTCCATTCTCCTCTCGGGATCTTGGGCACGCACGCACACGCGCCCGGCGTGAGTTTTAAGCCACTGGGTCCGGGACACGAACCGTGGTCGACTACGTGGGAATCCAGCGACATAGCCATTACGCTAACTGCTGGTTCCCGAAGTACAGATGTTTTGTCTCTAGGAAAGCCCAAAATAAATGTCAGGAAGATAGATATGGATGGTAGTTTAAATCTTTTCATATACATTTACAATGTATATGAAATATACATTTCTATTTTAGTAAACTTTTGTCTAGCTGTTTTGGTGTAACTGTTTAGTAAGCAAATGGAAGTGTGCACATTTATACAGATGAGGCCTCCTAATGATTCTAATATTCCCTTAACTAATCCTACTAAATATTTGGCTGCATATCCTTCAAGACTCCTTTTCTTTTCCATACTCACACAGTTCTGATAAAATGTACACAGAATTGCCTAACAATTTAACCAGTAGAGTGAACAGAACACGACAATACTTTTTTGGATTACTTTACCACCTAATGGTCAGCATGTTAACATCTGGTTAGCACTCCCTATGGTTTGTAAAAAAAAAAAAAAACATCTTTTAAAGGGCACACTCACCTCTCTATATCCACTTCTAAATGCTTCAAAATATACCCTGTGTCCATCAAAACGTTATCCAACATCTGAAGGCTCATTTTAGTGGACCACTGGATATGAATATTTACATATTTATATAGAGAGATCATATTTACAGCAAAATTGCTGCTGCTTTTCCAAATTAAACAATACTACTAATAAAATAAAATTTAGTAGGGCATGTGTGCTCGCCAGAAAGACAGAGAGAGACAGAGAGACAGAAAGCGAGATTTCTCCTCCATTCTCCTCTCGAGATCTTGGGCACACATGCACACGCGCCCAGTGTGAGTTTCAGCCGCTGGGTCCGGGACTTGAATCGTGGTTGACTACGTGGGAGTCCAGCGATATAGCCATTATTCCAACTGCTGGTCCTTCTTTTCCAAAACTGAACTCCCAATAAATTAGAAACTAATTTAAAACCATTGTTATATTCGTCTCATTTAATATAATGCAAAGAAAACTTTGAAAATCCTTAATAGTCTTAGTAAGATTCCTTTTTCATTATAGTTTTTCTTTTAAAAAGATGATACTTTTCCTAGAATGTTTCATGTGGGGGATCCCAGGTTATATTTGTGAGGATAGAGTGACCCTACACTTGTAGCCTTTGTTCCCAGTGAGTCATGATAGTTACCCGAACATAAACCTGAGATGACCCATTATGGAGAGCAGCCAATCTGAAAACATGTGATTAAAACATGTGCCTGTAGACACATGCAAATATGTGCTTCCGTAGCTACTCTAGCAGGGCTATTGAGAAGCATCTACATACGAAAGCAGTACCTGCCAGTTGTCTACTGCCGGTTGTCTAGTGATAGAAAATTGTTTGCATAAGGAACTAGTATTTTGCTGAAAAAGGTTGTGTAATTGCTGTGCCTGTGTTTCTGGAGTGTCTGAAACAAACCACATTTGCTCTTACCAAATATAACAGCACCAGGGAGGCCGGTGTGAGATCTAATGTGGCAAATGAAAAGTGGGCACTTCCATCCACGCACAAAATCTTGGATTATAGCCATTTGGAAAAAGTTTTTAGAAAAATGTTAAACAAAGTAATTACCTATGGATAATAAGATCTGAACAACCCTAGTTAAAGATTTGACAATGATTTACAACTGATAAAGAAATTTGGCAGTATTTATGCATATACTAGTTTAATATTATCTGTAACCACCTGATTAATACCATATCATTGACTTTTAGGAATTTTAAATTATTTTGGAATATAAATACATATATAAATACAGAACACATATATAACATTTATTTACAAATATATAACTTATTTAAACATATAACAATAAAATTAAAATTACTTGATTTGACAATGTTTTCCAATATCATTTAATACCTTAAAAGAAGCCCGATTGATTTAACACATCTTTTGGATGTTTTAGGGGGCCTCTGTAAACATCCAAAAGGTATTCTGAGGTCAAAAAAGCTTAATTTAGAATTTGATTTTGAGGAAAACTTGTCAAAGATAGCAAAAGCTTAAATATTTAATTGTCTGTAGAAAATGAAAGTTAACTGTTTTAAACATTTTAGGGATGAAAAGGGTTAACTTAGTTGTCATTAAAACAAAATACATGGCAGACTACATAAATAAACAACTCAAAGACCAATATATGGGTTACATATATTGTTATTAGTTATAAATAACCCAATACACGGGTTATTTATAATTATTATAAGAAATGTACTTTTTATTATTTTTAGCCAGAAGTCCTGTAACTGAACCACAGGAAAATTAAAAATTAAACTTTAGGAAAATCAGTCTTATTAAACAGGACCTAAACTTTTTTTTTTTTTTTTTGCTTTGTTTTGATTACCTCTGAAAAACAAAATGTTAAAGTTTAGTCACTAATCCATTTTCCCTGTTGGTCATATATTTACTAAGTAACATATAACATATAATATAAATATTAGCTGTTTCATTGAATGGATGACTAATCATCCATTAATTATTAATAATTCAATAATTATTCTCAATTATAAATTAAACATGATGTTGCCTGACAAATAAAATTTTGGACAAAATATTAGTCAGAAATCGTGAAGATCTTCATTTATATTGAAACTAGCTTATTTGTTAATGATTTTAAGTTACGTGAACTAGAGGAGTATTTA